GATGCATCAGAAACCAGGGTTTAAGATCCTAGCCTCGAGAAGATGATCAATTGGATCGGGGCAGGGGTCAAATGGTTGAGCGGAAAGGTTGTTGGCCCCTCGATTGTTGCATGGGATTCGTATATGTATCTTCGTAGCCTCAGCTCGACGACCCAGGTGAACATCCAGCCGCACCCACCTATAGTTGGCCTCGGTTAAGCATCTGGTCGTCATTAAATCTGATAGGCACCGGCCTAATAATTCAGCACTGCATGTGTCGCTTGTGGTGTGCACGCTAATGTACATATCCGGAGAAGATCGTCACTCATCCTGGTCGATACATACACATGTACTTACATAGCAAAGCCGTCTCGCGCCAGCAACGGCTGGTTCGCCAAGTACCGATATGTAATAGAGATGTAGTATAGATGCAAGCCACAAGAGCAATGTAATCCTCATCAAACTGCCGGATACTGACAAATGAGCTTAATCAAACTCTCGCGTATCCTGTTGTCGGCGACCTTAAAATGTGGACCGACGATGGCCTCAACAGGAGATATCTTTCTACAAAGTAAATGCCCAATGACAGGCCTTCGGGGCGATCGGATAGGCATGATATAGGCCTAGGAATAATATCTTGACCGCCGCCCTGGGACGTAGTCAACGGGTGATAATGGATCCCGCTACGATCGAATTTTTTTTTCCCCGAGTCCGGTCAGTCTTCCGGCTACAATTCCGAGGAAACATGACTAGGCCAGGTAGGGAGATCACTGGGCGGCGGCGGATGCACGTTCCTTGGAAGGGAGGCATATGTATGTGTACTATGCAGGGGTGAGATGCATGGCGTGCCATCAAAACTCAACCTCTAGCCCTGGGCCTCTGCGAGACAACTCAACGTCGTCTGCAGGCGCCCGAATCTCCATAACAAGTAAGCAGGAAGCCAGGAGTGGTTCCCGCTTCAATCAGAAATGAGAACCAGAGAGCACTAATGCCGGATACTTCTGCCAAGCAGCCCGCCACATTGAAGACGAAACATTCCTAATGTGGGCTACTCATTTATTTTCCTGCAGTGACCACCGCCTATTCTTATGTTGCAATCAGTTACTCTCAAGGTGTGAACTAGAACCGGCCTCTGCAAGTCTATGAAAATTAATAGACAGTGGCAAATAGCAAAAGAAAATGCGTATAGTAAGGCTGAGATGGCCTGATGTGGCCTGATTATGTATGTCTCAGAGTTTGTATCTGTCCACAATAGCTATTATGCCGAGTTGACCTCACACAAATGATGCATAGTTACGAAGTATGTACGACTTGAGTTGTCAATGATAGGTTGGAAAGGGAGAAACAGCCGCAACAACCCGGGCATATCTCGCTTCCATGCGGCACTGAGCAGTATGTAATAGACTACGTAAATTGCAATTCGACTTACATAGAGAAAATTGCTAGTCACTGCTGCTGCATACTCATTCAAATGCAATTTGCCAATCAGAATCCTTTCCATTAACCTAATCTAGAAACCCCCTTGTTCCATTTTTGGAGGGGGGACGCCAAGTGCAGAAGCAACAGGGCACCTGGACTGCTACGTGACAGAGAGCACGGAACTAATTCGTCTGAATCTAGGACAAAACGATCGCTGTCTCCGCTGACCTCTAATATGAAAGATGGCCAGGGTCTAGTCGGTGGAGGCGGTGGTGGGGAGGAATACCTATTGCAAATAGGAAGTCGTGGATGCAGCTGAGATCGATCTTCGGCCTGTCACCAGGGGTTGTAAGTGGCTCCAGACAGGAACATCGAGATCTGGTAGCATTGCCTACCTATGGAAGAACCCGTGCAGCCGATTCCGCTTCATAGCGCGTCGTGAAATCTAAGTATCTCGAAGTATGTTCTCAGCGTGTTGTTCGGCATGGTTCGGCAACTAATAGTTAGGTTATTGCGTCCAAGCACACGGCTAGGCTTGGGAAATGACCGGTTGAACCAAACTTTCTTCTCTCGCCCTAATTTGCCTCTCAGAGAGCCTAGCCAACTCGGATTCCAAGGATTTTTGGTCACTCATCTCGACGTGCGTGGTTGATACGACGCCTAAGAAATGGAGGATGCCGCCCACGACGCCACAAATCCAGCACCCCCGGCGTCTAATCCATGGCAGACGCACCTGATCGAAGGTCGCCGTATGGACGACGGAGCTAGTGCACAACGTGGCGGCGATCGTCATCCAGAAAACAAGATTGCGGTCAAAATATATACCAAGATATCGACTCTCGAGCACTCTCAGACTTCTATATAAGGAGGTCATCTCGCCCTCGACTGACACAACTTCTTTCTGCTCATCACCCTCAAGCAGCAATCCCAAGAAGCCCATCACCTTCACTACTCAACACTTTCCAATCTTTTGTTTTTAAAACAAACAACTCCATCCTTCAAAATGCAGACCTCCTTGTTCGCTATCATTGGCTTCATCGCCGCCGCTGTCACTGCCGCCCCTACCGATGGCCCCTACACCGCTTGCGGCGGCCAAGGTCTCTACAGCGTTCCCCAGTGCTGTGCCACCGATGTTCTCGGTGTTGCTGACCTGAACTGCCACTCTCGTGAGTCTTCATTAGCCTAGCAACAAATACCTTAGCTAACATGATCTGATGCAGCTTCCTCTTACCCCTTCAGCGTCAGCAACTTCCGCGACATCTGCGCCAACGGTGGCCAGCGCGCCCGCTGCTGCGTCCTGCCTGTTGTAAGTTCGCATCTGGATCAGTTTTTAGTGACTAGAAAACTAATATCCATCTTAAACAGCTTGGCCAGGCCGTCCTCTGCGAGACCCCTACCGGCCTCGGTGAGCAGTAAATGCCTACTACTCTTGCGAGTACTGTCACAAAATACGAGGGTGATTGAACATAATGGGGTGGGATTGTTGCTTTGATTGAGGGGAGGCAGAGTGATATAGTGTTGGGATGGGCTTCATTGGCGATGCTATCTTGGGACTTGAGCTGAAGTCATTCGTTCTTTTTCCGTGGTACCAGGACCTATGCTGTCATTACATATAGTCTGGAAAACCTTGGCCTTTCGATAACTCCTTAATAAAGAGTGTTCTGCGTCCAAACTTCATCGTCTTTGCAAGTGAACTCCAGATCTGAGAAATTTTAAGAGTATTAAGCTTCTACATATCGTTCACTTATTATTAGCGTTCTTGTAATTCAATCACTCCTGAGTTATCTAACTGTATTTCGAAAGGTTAATTCTAGCTGAATGTGAGTATTGTGTACCTAGTGTTGGCGTGTGTTTGCTTCGCTCCATGTACGTTAGAAATTGACTACACGATGACGGGGAGACAGAGCCGCATCTATGATCTTCTAGCCTTATTATGCGTCGAATGAAAGCAACCAAAGCCAGGAGCTTATTTAAACACTAGCAGGGAGTTAGCATGTATATCATTATAGTCTCAGAGTCACCCCGCGTTGACAACAGTTATGTCTCTCCTCCACATTATTTCCACGTGATGTCTTACTCATTAATAATGAGATGTTTGTGATGAACCAAGCGATGCAAAGTCATGCAATGCAACTGCTGGTCTGTGCTGCAGCCACATCTCGACAACATCATCTTCATCTGCGACATATCGTGCTAGTCATTGCGCATGCATATGCAAACGCATTTTCAGGCACATCTCATTAGGTCATATGTTTGTCCAGACAGGTACCCCGTATTCAATATTACTTCATCCCACCAGTCGGAATCCGTGCGTTACATATGTACTATGCTCTAATTATGATCCAAAGTAGTAAATGCCGTCAAGCCACCTTAAGCCCTCCTCCCGTAAACAGAAGCCTATTGATGCCAGATTGCGTGAACTGGCTAAATATTAAGGTAATTTGCAGCATAGTTAACATTTGCAATATCGCTTATAATCATTTGTTGTCCATAATGGTTACACGCAGGCTATTCAGACAACCAGGGTTAAATCTCTCAACTATATGATGTAATAAGCTTCCAAGCTTCTCTGTTTGAAGATAATCAATCATAATAATGTCCGAGATCCTAGCAGATGTTGTACTCTACTGGCAATTGCACTAGAAAAGGCCCGGAGTTCCCCAAAGAATTATATTCTTTAATATCGTCTGTCTCAGTAATTGTGTGCGAAGCACAGACCATCGTCAACAAAATCTACATCTACGGATCCGCTCAACATTTCTCTTACTAATATCAACAGTTAGAATAAGGTTGCATAAGGCTACGATCGAGATCTTGTGTCACCTACCTAAGTAGTCAAAATGCCTTTGCCACCCTTTCAACAGGTGTGGTTGTGTGGGAACAAGGGTCTTTATCTATACCATTCAAATTATACATTGCCTATTCTGGCCTGCGGCAGGTTTGTGGGTAGTAGTGATCGTTCCGGTGCTTCGGTTTGGAGCTGGCTCTGTCGATCCCTCCCAGATAGGTGTAGACGAACGGAACGTCCCGCCATGCCAGGTACGATAACCAGCGCTGAATTGATGGACGCTATTCGCGCATCCAGTATCAAATACCTTATCTATCTTATCTAGTGCGATGTCTGCGATGCAACAAATAGGCGGTCTTGCCGACTACTCATTACTAGTGGCGATGGTGACAGCGCTACGTCTTAGCACACCATCAGTACCTTTTAGTCGCACAGATAAAGGTTACATGACATCCGTATCTTATCGCTGGTATGCTTACGATCCGAAGAGCTCGGGTGAGCGCTTTTTGGCGAGGCTATTGCCTCTAAGAATTCTCAAAGCTTCTTATTGGTCTCTAAGCGCTGCATATACATAGTTTCAAACTTAGAAATAGATTCCCTTGCTAGATTGAAGCAGACGCCGTAACATCCGCTGTATGACAAATATGAATTAAGTATAATGACATCATAAGTTTTAGAAGACGTTGATATCTGTATAGATTGTAGATGGAATTAGGAACAGCACGGCACTGCATATATAAATACGAAAGTAATACATCTACGATAGAAACATATGAACAGCACCAAATGAAAGTGAAACGGCAAAACAAGCTGTCACCCATTAGGGGATTCGAACCCCCGGCTTCTCGTTATCCCGAAGTATACCGGAGACGAGCGAGCCAACTACTGCTCTGAATGGGCATCGGGTGCCGTGTAGGAATACACGGTAGGGATACCCCAGATGGTGATAGTCAGGTGATTCTTTGATAGGCATTCAGCTTGTTTGGGTTTATGAGGCGAGAAATGTCTAGGCGCCTAGGTAGCTTCCTAGTCTAAGCGTGATAATGATAGCTGTGTGTGAATTAAGAGACTTGTGTAGAGGGCACTGGACATGTTAGCCTAGCGTGCCTCGATATGTAGATTTTTGGCAATTGATAGATACCGTAGACTATGCCAATAAAAGTAAAGGTGAATTAGATATAATTTGAAAATCCTTATGTAATAAAAAACCATAATATCCTTCATTCTGACATCATCCCCCCTAGATCCGTCTATAGGAGTGAAGCAGGCTAAATCGTTCGCGTTTCAACGAAGGTATATCGGCATTGGGCTATTTGTGTGAAACGAAATAAGATAGTTTGTAAATTCGAAGAATTAGGGCACTCAAAAAGGGGATGTTGAATGTTAGTACACTTGTTAATATAATAGCTAACTCGAACCCATGGTTGCAGTTTTTACCTTTATATTAAATAACTTCCGCATTCTCTTTGACCCCTGGGTCTGATTGTAGTATTTATTTTTGAAATTCATGACTTTAGATAGTCTCTGTGTAACCCCTCTTAGATAATGTTTAGTTAGCCTTGTCCCACACAACATGTAGTCACATCTACTCACATCCATTTAAGACATTTGTAGGCATTTCACAAGCAATTTTTGTTCACGCTTGATGGGAAATAATAAACGTCTAGTAACTTCTTAACTATCCTACGCAGCGTGAAAGTATACCTCGCCTGAACAATCACCACGGTATGATAATGCGTTGATGCGAGTGACGTAAGCGGCGGCAAGTATTTAGAGAATAATCAGTCACTACTACTTCCCTTGGCGCAATACTCAAACTAAGCGACGCACATGTCAGATCGCACAAATCTAGGGCTGTGTATTACCCTGTACCTGCCGGCCAAGGCGCTAGGTTGCCACTTGAGCCGATACTCGGATATCGAAGTTGCCCCTGACGAGGGGTTCACCGGTCGTGGAGTTCGGCCGTACGGACGTTCTTGTACAACCCATACAAGGTATATAGGTCTGCTTATACTATGTGCCACCGGTGTATAAACAGATATAAGGAAAATTCTGTGGCTTTTGCAGCGCACACAAAAAGGGGCGATTCCACGAGATAACGGGCATCTGTCAATATAACTGTAGAAGATGCGAAGGCGGCATTGCACCCTTTCGAAGCGTAGCATTATGAAGAGGCATATCCAAAAGTACTAGTACTCTTGAGCTACCTAGGTGCTTATATATGTCAAGCATGGGGAATAGGCTGTTGGTAGGTGAGCGAGGTTAGTAGGAGATGTCCTTGCCTCATATCTCCTTCGGCAGCTATCTTGGTGCTATAGGGACCGTACAAGACAAACGACTACTCTTTTCGTTATCAAGTATAATTTATATCAAGATAGGGCGCATGTTTAACTACCTAGGTATTCTACATAATAATATTACAACTATAATAAACGTTCCCATGCTCTAATTGTAGTTGAACCCAGTTGCTCAACCTGAAATACTCGTACAGAAACTCTATGGGTCCCTTTAACCAAGACCAGCGTGACCGTCATTGCCCCAAGACATGTGGTCTCATCCAATGACGTGCACGCGACGTGGCGCGCGGGACTGATCCTGCAGTGCTCTATGCTGTACATGTATCCAATCAATAATCTATGGGGGTATAATGAAAAAAACGCAAACCAACTTTTACTCTAAACCTTTTACAAACCGGCCCCATAGATGCTGATGCTGTCTTCACCTTCCCTTCCCCGGAAACGTCATAAAAGAAATGCCGGGCGAGTTTCGCCCACGGGTGTCCATTAACTCGGCATGCAGCCGATGCACGTCGCGGTAGTCGTGCTGAATTGGCGATACAGGCTGGTCCTCGGGATAGGGATCCATGTTTGCCTGTGTGTGACGGCGTGGTCGCGGGTACGCGCCGCTCACGCTCATCTTCCTCGGTCGCATCTTTGGTGGCGGCGAGGATATCGGCGTGGTGTTCTGCGACGAGATCGATGTAGTAGTGCTGATGGAGGTATCGGAGCCCCTGTTGTGGAGGGAAAAGACGCTCGATCGCCTCCTCGCCCGTCGGCTCTCCTCCTCGTCGAGGCGGAGCCCTTCGGTGAGCTCCGAGAGGATATCCCGAGTCGATCGCCGGTTGTCGCTTTGTTTGCCCAGCCTTATCTCCCACCATCTCTTGTCGTTCTCAAGCGGCGAATACTCCACGAGCGTGTCGAGAGCCTCTTCTACCTTCTGCAACTTGTCGTCGTCCAGTTTCAGAGGGAAGTGCTCCGAGGCGAGCTCTAGGAGTGCGCGGGCATCGCGCGCTTGTCTCTGCCTGCCTATATCCGACTCGTGAAGGCCACAGGCGTCGGCCTTGAAGACAAAGAGATCCGCAAGCGAGATGTACGGCAGCTCCGTGATGTCCGCGACCAGCTCAGCCGAGCTTGGTATATAAGGACAGAGCCACTCAGGCGTGATCTTGATTTCGACTGCCCAGCCAGCTGGGTGCCTGTAGAAGATAGCCTGGGCTTTCTCGACGATGGCGCCCTTCCCATGAGCGAGCAGTGTCTTCTTGACTAGACTTGGCGATGCCGACTTGGTGATCATGAACTCTATGCTCTGGCGCATTCAATTAGCATCCAACATCTTGTTTGGCAACTGTTTATCTTGAACTTACTTCGCTGAGCCCTGGCCATTCCAGGTACTTCTTGACGGCCAGGTCGCCGATAAGGGCAAGACGGATGTTGGCAAGCCCAGCCACACCCTGCATCAGGTGAATGACGGCCAATGCGGCTTGTTCCAGATCGGCGATGGACAGCCGGGCCATACCGGTATCTGATCCTAACGACGAGTGCGGCATCGCGAGAGGGGGGGAAATGGTAGGCCGGTTCGCTAATAGACAATCATCACATCGCAACAAGTACGGCTCACATGCGCTCAAACAGCCATTCCGGCCAGTTTTAAGTGTTCCGGCGCAGCCAACAGGCGTCGAAGCTCTTCTAGGCAACCTGCTGGATTGGGCTGGCGTTTGATACCTGACGCGCCCAATCCGGTAGGTTCGGCACACCAAAACAGGGATCATGACCAATAGGGCAGCAGGATCGGCTGACTTAATGTTATTAGTCTCACCCTTCGTTGTACCCCAAGGGCTGGGTGTTTCCCCCTTTACGCGCCCCTGTAATAATGATTGTCATCTCTGAACCCGTAGCATAAGTACCTACATAACTGTCAGACTTACTGATCCTCCGAGGTACCGGTTGTTTAGGTAGTGTAGCGTACGTAGTGCGTACCGGCGCAGTGTACATAGCATCCATACTTCTTACTTACATACCTGGTGCAGATCGCAAAGCGACCGGGTCCGAGTCCTTGAGGAATCTGCAATTAAAAATTTGCATGCCTAGAAATAGACGGCAATTGGGGGAATAGGATTCCCTTTTTCGCATTTTTCGCATGACTTCGCATATTGCGACGGCCTGATTGATGACAGGATGCCAGGAAAAAATGTTAAAAAAAATACAGACTGTCGTATCGCCATTCAGCGTGGCGGGCACGGGAAATGAACAGACCCGCCGAGACCAGGACAAGGCCGTTAGCGATACCTCTCGCCATACATAAGCACAACAATAACGACGAAAACACAACAAATAACATATCTACGCTATTATAGTAGATACACTACTTTACACTACCTACGCTATTTAGGTACCAGATCCGGAGAATGCGGGATGACACGCTTCATGCGCGCCATTACTCCGTGCACCTCTTCCATATAACTACCTAAGTAAGTACCTCTGTTTGCTGTATCATACTTGTTACTAGTCACTTGTTCTCGGGTTTGAAACGGTGCTCGCGCGCGTAAGGCAAGGAGATGGAGCAACAAATAACTTCAAGAAGCGGCAGTATAGCCAACGAGCAGCTGGGTGCTGGTATGACTACCAGCCGAGATGAAACACGTCGAAATTCTCTCTGAGCAAACGCGACCGGTCGCGTCGCACATGTCATGTACCTATATCTCCGTTTGTATGTAGGTCTTCTTCCTTTCTAGAGAATTCGGCCGCCGCGATGACCCCGGCACGGATTTCCGGGGCCTCTCCTTGTTTCTGACTCGGCGCACCTAAACATAGAGCGCCCATCATTCGGATCGCTTTGTGCTAGCGATTAAGCGAAATCGCATTTGGGTAGGTTGACTCATCAGGCACACGTCAGGCATAAAGGGTATTTTATATCAGTGCCCATCGCACGGAAAAGATTACCTGGGTTTCTCGTGCCTGGCTTGGCGACACCTATGCGGACACCGCGCGGTCGCCTCACCTGGTCAACCAGCTGTGTCACCGCCATCATTGTCGTCATTGCGGAACTGAGAGCATTTCACGTCAATCCACCGGCTGGATAGTGGATTCTCGTTGCGACCCGACGTGGATCAATTGCCAGTGGAAAATTCAGGTTATGACCATATGCGCTCACATATTGAAGCTGAGTGATTGATTGATGAATGTGCGGCTGTGTCCCCCTGTTGTCTTGTTATGCGTCCGACTGGGAGCTGTACTTCACGACGTCCTGCTAACAATATTTAGGTGCCCTCATCGGAGAGGAATCCTACTTGCGACGATAGTACCAGGCCTGCGCACTAAGCAGTTTGCGGGCTATAAAACTCGGTATATATGAACAACTGGAAACGGCGAAAGTCCGGGTGAGAGAGGAGAACTGTATTTGGCATCTTAGCTGAAGAACGCTATTAGTGAGATCATTAACGACACTTACTGGTTATGATGTGGCTACTGAGGAGCACAGAGCGAGCTGAGGTAGAGAAGCGAACGAATAAGCTTGAATACGTTTGTGAGCTGTCTCAATAAGAGCTTGTATGCTCTTACGGATGAGGTTCAACTCATCGTCTCACGTGCGACGTGAGAAAGATTGTTAGATGAGCTGAGACC